CCCCAAAACCCCAAAACCCCAAAACCCCACACCAAATAAATAGTTGAGAATTATATTATTAATAGTAATAAAAATGAAATATATGTGTATCTTAATGTTATGTATCATGGCTGTGGCAGCCAATGTGTGCCAGAACGATGCCCAGAAGGCAGGATCTCCTCTTTCTATAAGTTTCGGAATGGCCGGAATTACATATGTCTATCTTTTGGATATTTTGGAAGACCAAGACAGTGAATTACTCTATTTTATTGGGTGGTTTGGTTCACCTGCTCCATATGACACAATAATCTACAAGTCGGGCCCTGCCCTGGCCAAAGTGCAAGTGATGACTTATGATATCTACAGCAACTACCGTCTCTACGCCATGTCTCCAAGCAAGGAATTCATCTATATCCAAGACCATACAACAGAAAAGATATTCGAGGTCAGGACTTCAGACCTGGTAATCTCCAGGGAGTTGTCAGTTAGCTCTGCCTCTGTGAGTTTTAATACAAACATGGAAGTGAGTGAAGGCTTCTTCTTCAGCCTCATCAGCAGCTCGGTCATGCACACTTGCAGATGGAACATGGCAGATACCAATCTCGACTGATTCACTTTCGGAGTCAACAGTCAGGCCAATTTGGCCCCAATCAATGCCGATCTGCTGTTCTTTGGATCAACTGACACAGCAGCCGATCAATACTACCTGGTGAACTATAACTTCTCCTCCTCCAGCCTGGCCTGGAAGAAGAGCATTGCCTGTCCCACTTCGGGCTGAGGGAGCAAATTCAGCAGCTCCCTGGTGAGCAGAGATGAAGAGTGGGTCTACACAATGGTGCTGTACGATGAAAATTTTATTTTCCAAAAGCTCAGCATCACCGACGGGAGTACCCAAAGCTCAGGGCTGATTTGGAACGACAGTGAGTATGTTGATAGTTACTGAATGAAAGAGTTCAGTGGTTTCATTGCCATCCAGATTGCCAGTTCCTCATCATCATATGGAAAAAGGTTGATCCTGGTCTCCCCCTCTGCTGCAGAAGTTGTGAAGGAGTACAAGTCGGTGGAATCGAGGGCTTATGCAATCGGAAGGTTGGTATATAAAGAGGAAGAGTTAATATTTCATTCTGGAAGAATAGAACCTAGTTACGCATTCTTCCTTGCAAGATCACCCACAAACAACATTGGACAGCTTGCTGAGTTTGAAGAAGACACTCCTCTGTTCAGTCCAACTACCACTTTCTATCAGGTGTCGTCAACAACATCAAACCCAAGCCTCACCTCAAGCACGAAGACTCTTACGATCTCAATTTCATCGTCCATCACTACTACTGACATCACGCCATCCACCAATCCTTCGTTCACCACATACGTGGCTTTGTGGAACCAAGACTACTTGAAGACTGTCCAGAGCAACGCTTCGGTGAAATTGGAATTCACCTGGGCCTGAGCTCAGTCAGCTAATTACACTGCCATCAGCTTCAGTCTGGCCCAAACTGGCTCAAATACGATACCTGAGTGGGTGCAGTTGGATGCAGGCAACCAAGAGCTACACCTCAACATCACTCCCAAACTGACCGAAAAGAAGACTTTCTATTTTTCACTGCAGATCTCCTTCAACAGTGAAGTTCACTACAAGAAGTTTGAGATCACTGTAGAAAAATGATCAATTCAAAACTGCGATCGGTGAACATTAGGAGACCACAGCACTTGAGAGGCTTGATCAGATGGATATCAAAGCTCTGATGGACAAACATTATGTTCCAAAGTTGAATCTCCTGCCGAAAATGCGCCAGCTGGTGCTACACAGACTGCCACTGCTTTTATTGGAGCAAGTATGATAATTGCTGCTGCCTCATCTGCTCTTTCTTTTACTTCGGTCAACTCAATTTTCTGTATGATGAATAGCCTGCAACTTGCAATTCTTCTGCCACTCGTTCCAGAGTATTTTTCACTCAAAGTTTTAGATTTCTTGAATGGAATGGGCTTTGCAATGCTTTCATTAGATTTTATTCATCTCAAAGATATTCCTTTTGTTAAAACTATCACAAACTGGGTCAAATATCCACAGACCGATGAATACTTGGAAGAGATAGGAATGAGCTCAGGAAGTTCTCTTGTGAACTATTTCTCTCTTATATCCTTAACTATTTTGCTCGTAATATGCCACATCTGAGTTTATTTATTTACAAAATGAGCAAGGAAATCTGAACGCGAGAAATGTAAGAAGTTCTTCAATAAACTGTTTGAATTCTTTACCTTCAACATTTACATTCGTACCTTTATCCAGGCGTTTATGTTCACAATACTCTGCACTTTTTCTGAAATGTATTCACTAAACCTGAAGACAACAACTGTGAAAATCTCGTTCGGGTTCTGCATAGTTACCGTTATGGTCTGATTTTGTTTGCTAATCCTATCCCTGTACATGTATAAAAAATCGTTTCCAGAGATAGACAATGAGAAATATTGGGCCTGTAAGGAGTTCTTCAATGGAGTTAAAGATGGCAGATACTCTAAGCTCTACACGACAATCTTTTTGATGCTTAGAGTTATGCTAGTTGCTCTTGTTATTTTTGGGAAAACTATTCCATCATTATACAAGGCGACGGCATTTTACTTAATAAACATTGCTTATGGAGGGTATCTCCTGGTTGTCAGACCGTATGATAACCCTCAAGATAATATTGTTGAATGCATCAACCAGGTCTTATTCTGCTTCCTTGCTGTTCCATTATCTTGGTTAAAAACAAAGTCGAGTTGGACTTCATTTTATGAAGGTTTTTACATCAAAATTCTTATGGCTTCCCCAATTATAGGAAGCATTGTTTGATTCATATTTTTAATCAAATCAATCATTTCTCGAATCAAAAAAATTAAATCTACCACTAAAGTTCAAAATTTACCTCTTCCCAACATAATCAGTGGAAATCCAAGAAGATTCCACATTCATGAGGAGAGCAAGCTAAGCCATGCAACACCCAACTCTGTTCTAAAATATTCATCAAACCTCAGCCTGCAGCTATCTGAAATCCCCACTAACATCCAGAACCCGAGCTTGCAGCACATCGCCAGAATACGGGAAGAGAACATCAATAGGGATAGAATGAGAATCCAAATGAGGAAACAAAATTTAAACTAATTTACTAGATTCATGAATCAATCTTAAATTAACACCTGGGGTTTTGGGGTTTTGGGGTTTTGGGG